GTTCATTGAGCAGCGTGGTCCCAGGACACCCCAAAACCACCTCCTGCTCCTGCTGCTGAGGGTGAGGCCGCAGCGGGGCGTGAGGAAAACTCACGGGGCTGTGCGGGCAGGGAGAGAGGTGTACGAGGGCAGATATTGTGTACCCGGGCACAGGGGCCATGGGGGCAGGGATTGGGGTGTGTATGAGGGCAGATATTGTGTGCTAGGGCACGGGGGTTTTGAGGGCAGGGAGAGGAAAATATATCTTTCATGTACCAGGGCAGATATTTGTACCAGGCACGGGGGCTGTGAAGGCATGGAGAGGAGTGTATGAGGGCAGATGTGGTGTAAAGGGCATGGGGGTTTTGAGGGCAGAGAAATGGGTGTACAAGGGCAAATATTGTGTACCCGGACATGGGGGCCATGAGGGCAGGGAAAGGGGTGTACGAGGGCAAATATTGTGTCCCGGGGCACGGGGGCCGTGAGGGCAGGGACTGGGGGGAGTATGAGGGCAGATATTGTGTACCCGGACATAGGGGCCATGAGGGCAGGGAGAGGAAATGTATGAAGGCAGATGTTGTGTACCCGGACATGGGGGCCATGAGGGCAGGGAAAGGGGTGTACAAGGACAAATATTGTGTCCCGGGGCACAAGGGCCGTGAGGGCAGGGACTGGGGGGTGTATGAGGGCAGATGTGCACCGGGGCACGGCGGCTTTGAGTAAAGCAGAGCGGGATGCATGAAGCGCGACACGGGGGCAGAGGGAGGGGTGTGTGCAGGGAGAGAGAAGGGGTGTAGGAAGGCAGAGGGCGGACATTCACGCCCCCCGGCCGCTGCGCTGTCCCCGGGCCCGCCTCAGCCCGCACGTACCGAGCAGGTCCCGCCAGCTCCTCCCGCCCGCGCCCGCCATCATCGCGGGCCGCCGCTTCCCGCCGCGCCGGCCCGCGCCGCCATTGGCTGCCGCCGGCCGAGCCCGCCTCGCCTATTGGTTGGTGCGGAGAAGATGCCGCGCCGCGCCCACCCCACCGCCTCTGCCCATTGGTTAGAAGCGCGGCGTGGCCCCGCCCCCTGCCGCCCTCTCTGTGGTGGCTGAGGTGGGCGCTGCCATGTTGGGAAGGGCGGCGGGAGCGGCGGGAGCGGGACACGGCGGGCGTGGGGAAACACGGGCGGTGGGCGCGGTGAGGAGAGCCGCTCCGCTCCGCTGTGCAGGGTGCGGGCACCGTGAGGGACCCGCACGGCTGTGCAGGGTGCGGGCACCGTGAGGGACCCGCCTCGCCCCGCTGTGCAGGGTGCGGGCACCGTGAGGGCACCGTGAGGGACCCGCTCCGCACCGCTGTGAGCTCGCGGTGTGTGGGCACCGTGAGGAGCTCGGGTCATGCCAGTTCTGAGCTGTGAGGATGCTGCTGACCCTGATCCCACCCAGGGAAGGGAACAAGAGCGGCTGGAATTCCCGAAGAGATGAATCACCAGATTGCTGGGAGAATAAATAATGGAATTGTGATAATAATTTGAATAATGGATTGGAAGGGAGTGGCTTGTGCTGCAAGGGACATTAAAGCCCATCCCATCCCACTCTGCCATGGCAGGGACACCTCCCACTGTCCCAGGTGCTCCCAGCCCTGTCCAGCCTGGCCTTGGGCACTGCCAGGGATCCAGGGGCAGCCACAGCTGCTCTGGGCACTGTGCCAGGGCCTGCCCACCCTCACAGCCAGGAATTCCTTCCCAATATCCCATCCATCCCTGCCCTCTGGCAATGGGAAGCCATTCCCCGTGTCCTGGCACTCCATCCCTTGTCCAAAACCCCTCTCCTTCTTTTTCCTCAGATCTCTTTAGGTCCTGAGTGGCCACAAAGTTTCACAGAGCAGAATTCCCAGAGGGATTTTTCCCTCGGATCTCATCCTTCCTGACGATGAGCCGCTGCCGTTGGCCACCATGGCTTGGAGGAGCAGTGATTCCCTATGGAAGGATGAAGTCCCCGGGGTGTGTCCAGCACCAGGAAGCAGCTCCTGCTGGGCTGGCCGTGGATGGTTTATTGCAGTGCTGGGTGTGAGTCAGCAGCACATGACGCCGGGAGAACTTCCCGGCAGTGCCAGCAGATCCAGCACTGATCCAACCTGGGCAGTGCCATGGGATGCCACCGAGTCTGGGAACCCTGGCCAGGCCACATTCCTGAGTCACCTTAACCCCCAATGCCATCTGCAAGCTTGTGTCAGCCCCAGATTTTGGGATCCCCCATCTCGACTGGCCCCAGCAGGCATCTGGCTGGGAGCTCAGCTCTCCAGAGGGCTCCCAGAGTTCATTCCCAGATCCCCAAGGGTGTTCCCAAGGTCCTTGCAATGCCTTCAAGCTCTTCAGGGAGTTTCCAAGGGTGACCTTGAGGTCCTCATGGTGTCCCCAAGGTCCCCATGAGGTCCCCAAAGGTGTTTAAAATGCCTCTAGGCTGGTCACAAATGTCCCCAAGGTGTCTCTCAGTGTGCACCCTCAAACTCTGGCCATATCCGAGACCAGCACACAGCAGCAGCAAACTTCCCAGTAAAATGCTCCCTCCTTCCAGATTCCCAGTTTATTGCAGCATGGAGGGAAAGCAGGAGAGGCACATCCACCCCACAGGTTCCTGTGGCTTTGTAAGGATTTGATTTTTATTTTTTTTTTATGTGAGAGCTGAGACCCACGGGAATGGATTATCCACGAGGAAACAGGGGCACAGCCCTGCTGCAGGTGGCTGGGGAAGGGCTCTGCCTGCTCTCCATGCCAGCTCCCCACCCTATCCTGCTTCCACACTGCAGGAGCCAGGAATTCCAACCCTCCCATAGTGCCCTGACACCATTTCCCAAGCACTTCATCTTTCTTTTCCCCCTATTTCTTTTGGCTTTGATTCTATTTCCCTCATCCACACACACGCTTGGCTTCTGTTTGAGTTTTCCATGCCGGTAGCTTTTAATTACACAACGATTCAGTATTAATTACAGATTTACCCAAAGCAAAGGGCTCCGTGCTTTATCATGCAAATGCCTTCCCATGAATCCTGCAGGGTGGCTTTTCCTTCAAACGCCGCACGTCCTCCCGCTCCCATCCCCGACGGTGCCGCCCCGGCTGTGTCCGGAGGCGCTGGAAAGCTGGCACGGCACGGCACGGCCTTGTTCCCGGCCCCAAGGAGGCTCCAAAGCAGCTGATCCCAGGGCAAACCGGGCATCCAAAGCTCTCAGTGCAGAGGCAGATGTCGGCACGGCGGCCAGGAGCGCTCCGGGCGCTGCGGCTGGGCAGGATCCCGCACAGATCCGGCTGGAGATGCAGCTGGCACCGTGCCCCTCACCCTCTGCAGCACGGTGCCACCCTGCCACGGTGCATCTGAGCGTTCCCAGAGAGGCACGGACACCTCGGATCACCCGTATCCCTTCTGCCCTTTCCCAACCCCAGGGCACCACAGGGGCTGTGTTTCCCGGTATCCCAGCTCCACTATCCCACTTTCTTCCCCAAAGATGGAGCTGGCACTGTTCATGTTCTCTGGGATGGGCGCTGAAGGGCTTTTCTGCTCCATGCCAGGCTCTCTGGCAGACATCTCCAGGCCTGGAGCAGCTCTTTGGCCGTGTGGGACAGGAGAGTGGCCGTGTGGGACAGGAGAGTGGCCGTGTGGGACAGGAGAGTGGCCGTGTGGCAGCCCTGTCCCTGTCCCAGCCCTGCCAGCACAGCTCTGGGATTGATCCCAGTTCATGCTCATCGGTTAATGGAGCTGAGCCAGGCTTTTATTCTCCTTCCATCATGGAAATGGGAAGCTCATCATGACGAGAGTGTTCATTTGCTCCCTCTGACCTTTCCCAGGCACTGGCTGTCCTTTCTGCTCTGTCAGGACAATCCTGCCCTCCCTGTGTGTCTGAAGGTGCCCAAAGGTGATCCTGCTCTTGTGTCAGCCTTCCCTGTGGCTGTGGGATGCCAACCCCACACCATATTCCCATGGGGCATTGTCTCCCTAGAGACTCCAGCTCATCCTGGCACCTTCACCCAGCTCCTGCTGCTCCTGGCCGTGCCCAACCACACTCTGGCACCTGAAGCTCTTGTCCTTCCCTCCAGGAAGTTCTGCTGTCCCACCTGGCCCCTTCCCTGTGCCAGCTCCTCATCCCAGCCGAGTGCCCCAGGGCCCCCCAGCACCCCACAAGGCAGGTACCTCGTGTCAGGAGTCCCCGTGGGCACTGGCATCCCGTGCTCCTGCCCTGATTCCTGCTCGTGTGTCCCCAGGTGACCCTGGTGCCAAGGCCATCGTGTCCCTGATGTGCTGCCCCACACATGGCTCAATGGGCACGGGCCAGGGGCTGAGCCACGCTCCAGGGCCACCCTGCTCCTCCTGGGGCACAGGGGGTCTCGTGTCCCCCGGGGCGTCACCCAGCGCTGCTCCGCACCCGTGGGCACTGCCCCCATCACCTGCCCCACAATCCGGCCTGTGCCCAGCTGTGTGCCCTGAACCCTGCACCCTGCACCCAGCTAACCCAGCGCGGCCGCTCCCGGCTCCCAGCCCCGCAGCCTGGGCGGGCCGAGCTGTGCTGTGCCATGCCAAGCTGTGCCATTCTGAGCCACACCGTACTGCACCATGCCACACTCTGCTGCCCCATCCCATTCTGCCCCAAGCTGTGCCAAACAATACCGAGTCATGTCACACCGCACCGAGCCGTGCTGTAACGTTCCGCGCCACACCGTGCCATACCGTGCCGTGCCAGACCGTACCGAGCTCGCCGCTCCGTGCCGTGCCGTGCCCCGCCGTACCGTTACTGTACGGTACCGTCCCGAGCCGCCCGGTGCCCCCGGCGCCGCCGCAGCCCCTCCCGGCGCGCGCCTGCGGCGGGGCCGGTGCCGGTACCGGTGCCGGTGTTGGCGTGGGGGGCGGAGCCTCTCTCACCGCCCCGCCCCTCCCCTTCGTGGCTCCTCCCCCTCCGCGCGCCCTGCGGTGCGGATGGTGAGCAGACGTGGGCGTGGCCTGCCGGGGCGTCTCCCCGCTTGGCCCCGCCCC